TATCATCTATAATGAGGACAACGGTATCATCAAAGCCTTCAGAAACATCCCTGGAATTACTCTGCTTAATGTCAGCAAACTGAACATTTTGAATCTTGCACCTGGAGGGCATGTGGGCCGTTTCTGCATTTGGACTGAAAGTGCTTTCCACAGGTTAGATGAGCTGTATGGCACTTGGCGTGGAGCTGCCCCCTCAAGAGTAACGACAGCCTTCCATGCACAGGATGCTCAGTACAGACGTGAGCAGAATGTTGAAAAGCCCAGAGATCCAAAGAGCCCTCCGAGCACCACGCAGGAAGATTCACCGCGGAGTCCTGAAGAGAATCCACGGAAAACCCTGAGGATCATGTTGAAGCTAAACCCATATGCAGAGACCGTGCGCCGGAACACCGTTCTTCGTCAGGCCAAGAACCACAAGCTCCGGGTGGACAAAGTAGCAGCAGCACTAGAAGCCAAATCAGATGAGAAGGGGGTTCCAGGCAAGAAGCCTGTGGTCGGGAAGAAAGGAAAGAAGGCTGTTGGCCTTAAGAAGCAGAAGAAGCCTTTGGTGGGGAAAAGGCTGCAGCTACCAAGAAACCAGTAGCTGAGAAGAAGCTGGCAGAAGAGAAACCCAGCACAGAAGAAAGAAGCCTGTGGCGTAAACTTACATTTGTTTGTTCCATACGGTCCGGTCACTGTGGACAGCTAATTTTGAATAAAAATGAGCAAAGGCAATGAGAAACATAAAAAAAGTGGATGGTGCTGGATGCTCCCCCGTGAGCCAGGCCCACGCTGTGCTGTCAGCTCACGGCTCTGCATGAAGGACCGGCACCCATTCAGTCTGTGAGCTGGCAGGACCGAGCCCTCACGCCCAGGGCGCCTTCAGCAGACAGCCTGCCGTGGAAGTGGTGCCCGCATGTGGGGGGTCATCTTTCCAAAGGGTCGCCGTCTCTAATTAAAATGTTGGGTCAGATCAGAAGCATCCGTCTATTGTGTGGCACGTCAGGACTCGTTGTAACTTTCTTCCCATTTAATTATTATAATGAACACAATTAGCATGTGCTGTGAGCCCTTCACCTTATTTGCATTTTATATGGGATAATTAAAAGTGCCCTGATAATTACATTAACTCAGTGACAAATGATTTGACTGCCTGCGTACTGCTGTATGGGGAATAAGCACCTTTGCATATTCATTTTCGTTAGTGACTGACTGTTCATTTGGAAAGACCCCAGAGAGTGCAGCTGTCAGAGCCCGAACCTCTTATGGGAGTTGAAGGGAAGGGTCCCTGTGGCCCAGCGTCCCCGTCAGCGCCTCTGTGGAGAAGTCCATGCGTCATGTAACCGTCCGCCCTACATGTGCGCGGGCTCCTGCAGGCTCCTGGGGAGAGCAGCATGAGCTGGACAGTGAGGCTCTTGAAACGACATCGGCCTGAGCTGTGACCTGCATTTTCCAGGTCTTGTGTGATTTGGTGATTTAGTAAGAAAA